GAAATAGTCTAATAAATTAAATCGTACTACTCGAAAATGTATTTAAAGGGTTGGTTTTCGACTTGGTTGAAGAATAATTCTCTTCCTAACTCTTCTCTTGACCATGTCTCTCGATATAATCAAAATAACCTTAACATAACGAATGTCAAAATGATTGTAAACGCGACCAATTTAAAATATACGATCAAGAGAAAACATGAGCGATGTATGAAAAAATCAAACAAATTTATTTAATAAAACAAAATTTACAACTCAAAAATTGAGATTTATATTATTCGATAATCATGTGGCCACAAAAAGTACAATGGACAATTAGTGATTTAGAAAAGTTGTATTCTTTGTGTCACAGGATGATGTAACTTTTATATATAAGTTAAGCTTAACGATTTGTAACAGTTTGCTTTATAGAAACGCGGCGGTTAATATTATGAATGTGAAGTACATTTGTATATTTTTTTTGTAAAGTCATATTTATTTATTAAGTAGAATATAACAAAATTTTTTATCCTTAAGAAAATGAAGATCAAAAGAATAATTAATATATACTAATGATGATGCTCTTATCAATCGTTCAATTTCAGAAGACAACTTTCTGGTCCTAAACTAACATTACGATCTTCATAGATATCTACCAAGTGTCTAATCAAGTAAGTAGCATCACTAGAAACCAAAAATTCGAATCACCTGGTTTTGCCCTTTGTAACTTTCTGAGCCAAGTCGAATCCTTTAAAAAATGATTTTAATTTTTCATCGCTAGTAAGAAGCCGGGGCTTCATTTCAAAAATCACTTTCGTAGGTAAAATTTCATTAGATTTCTCAGTAGCAGTTGTATCATCATTACAGTCATCAGTAATGGAAACATAATCTTCCAATTCTGCCAACCCCTCAGGATTTGATTTCAATATAACTAGTAATGCTTTAGCAATTGCGCTAGAAAACATACTACCACCTAAACCAGCAGCAATAAACCCTCCGACACCTAAACCAGCGGCATCAATCGATTGTAAAATCGCCACAAGACTACCAGCAGCTACAGTTCCATGATGTAATGACATAAGCCATGCTGCAATAGATCCAGCTGCAATACCGGCTTCTCCAAATCCCAATGCTCCCACTACTCCACCAATTACAACAGGACCCAGAGCAAAACCAGCAATCGTTGCAGTGGTTGTAATCAAAATCGTTTTATGCTTTATAAAAAAATTTTTTGCACGTTTGCTGGCATTTTCTTGTGGTGGAGGTGGCTGTGGTGGTGGGTTTATAGACCCATCCCTCATGAAAGTATCAAGAATTATGCCTTTAAAAATGTTTGCAAGTGGAATGTCAGATAAATTTGCCTTTTTCTTTGTTAAAAAATTTTTTTTTCTTTAAAAAAAGAACAATTAAGTGCAGATTCAGTACTTTGGATTTATATTAGGTCAAATTCCTGTGTAGATTATTTGATGTAATGTTACACATAAAAATTAATACTTTCTCACTAAGGTTTCTGGTCGAAACTACTTCTATTAGTAGCCGAAATTGCCCAAATACTTTGGGCAAAATTTATTTTTTTATAAGTCCAAACTACTTTTTGTTATTAGCCGAAATTGGGCGAAATTATTTTAAAGTTGTTTAAGTTAAAACAAATTGATTCATATAGTTTTTTAATGTTCATGCTTATAAAAAATGTTGAGAAGCCCAAATTGCCCAAACTAGTTTGGGCTTTGAGAAAACAGTTTGGACCAGAAACCTTATTCCTAAAATGTAAGATAAACAAAATTTATTGTTCTTCTACCAAACAGTTATCTTCGATTGGAAAAAGATATTTATTATTGTTGCATGATAAACATTTATCACATGGAAAAAAGGTATTTACATTGATCATCAAAGAATTGCATAGATCGATTTCAAAAAACAAAAAAAATTAGGTTTGAAAAACATAGAATTTTGCTGGTTCATTGATCATGCCTCTTCTCACCTTGCAAAAGCATTGCAATGAGTAGTTATAAGAAAAAAAACATTTGTTGCACGACACAATTTTTGACAATGACAACTTTTGTTGGGTGTTTGATTTAAAAAAAGAATCATAAATTTTGATTGAAATTTGATTCCTTTGATTCCAAATCAAATTGAATAATATTATCTTTATGATTCAATTAAATAAATGTCTGTTACTTTTTTTAACATATAACGTGTCAATTTTTTGTAGAATTTTTACATTAGAACTAAGAAATCCAGGATTTAATTATTATTATTATTATTCGTTTGAAAATTTCAAAGAGGAAAATAGGTAGGGTCTTGGATTATCATAATTGAAGCAACATCTGATTTTGGTGCAGATAAAAGTTCAATAAATAGTGTGATTATTTTAGGTATACCAGAAGCTTTTTTTCTTTATTATAAGTTGTATCCAAATCAGGTAAAGCAATTTTTATATGAATTATGGTTATGCTATATAATTATGGGCATTAGTATATATATAAAGCAAAACCGTCATTTTCAATTTTTTTTTGGCGTAATAGTAACAGGACATTTCCCGCCGATCTATATATAGGATACATAGTAAAATTTTATAATCGAATGTCTTCACACCCTCGTTTGATAACCTTGCTGAGTAGCAACCATCACCAAAATTGAGATATAACTTCTTTATCATATGTATCTGCTTTAAGAAGATTTTTAAGGCAGGTTGTTAATAAAACCGAAAATAATCCGACCCTCAAAGTCAAATTTTGCCCTTATATTCATATGCGTAAAATTTTGTTTGACGCATCCAATTACAAGTATAAGCAGGAATAAATGTCCCAAACATTACATTATTATGAATATTTACAGTTTTTGATTACTCAGGTATGTCTTTTATAGTAAAATCATTTATTTTAAAAGTAAATATAATAAATAAATAGATTTTAAAATTTTTCTTTACCTATATACATAAATAATGATTAGAATAATAAACAAGCAACAATGATGATTAAATTAAAAGGTGTTTTATCTCTGACTTTATTCATTTAATTATTTATCATAGTGATGTTATTAAATATAAGTTAAAATAAAAGAGAAATTTATATACATAAATAAACAATAAACATAACTATTGAATGATTGATAAAACGTTCATTTTCATAGATCTTGTCCTTAATGCTTAATTCGATCACTCCTACACAAATTATTGAATAATTGATAAACATTCGTTGGTATGTTTTGTTAATAGATCTTGTCCTTAAAGCTTACCTCGATCATTCCTATACAAACTATTGAATAATTGATAAACGTTTGTTAGTATATTTTGCAAGCTTCATATATCTTGTCCTTAATGCTTAATTCGACAAATTATTGAATAATTGGTAAACATTTGTTAGCGTGTTTTGTTCATAGATCTTGTCCTTAACGCTTACTTCGAGCACTCCACACAAACTATTGAATAATTGATAAAAACATTCGTTAGTATATTTTGTTCACAGATCTTGTCCTTAAAGCTTACTTCGATCACTCCTACACAACTATTGAATAATTGATAAAACGTTCGTTAGTATATTTTGTTCACGGATCTTGTCCTTAACACTTACTTCGATCACTCCACACAAACTATTGAATAATTGATAAAACGTTTGTTAGTATGTTTTGTTAATAGATCTTGTCCTTAAAGCTTACTTCGATCATTTCTATACAAACTATTGAATAATTGATAAACATTTGTTAGTATATTTTGCAAGCTTCATATATCTTGTCCCTAATGCTTAATTCGATCACTCCTATACAAATTATTGAATAATTGGTAAACATTCGTTAGTATGTTTTGTTCATAGATCTTGTCCTTAACGCTTACTTCGATCACTCCACACAAACTATTGAATAATTGATAAAAACATTCGTTAGTATATTTTGTTCACAGATCTTGTCCTTAAATCTTACTTCGATCATTCCTATTGAAACATTTGTTAGTATGTTTTGTTCATAGATCTTGTTCTTAACACTTCGGTCACTTCGATCGCTCCACACAAACTATTGAATAATTGATAAAAACATTTGTTAGTATATTTTGTTCGCAGATCTTGTCCTTAAAGCTTACTTCGATCATTCCTATATATTGATTAATTGATAAAACATTCGTTGGCATATTTTGCAATCTTCATAGATGTTGTCCTTAATGCTTACTTCGATCACTACTACACAAACTATTAAATAATTGATAAAACATTCGTTAGTATATTTTGTTCATAGATCTTGTCCTTAACACTTCGATCACTTCGATCACTCCTATACATTGATTAATTGATAAAACATTCGTTAGTATATTTTGTTCATAGATCTTGTCCTTAACACTTACTTCGATCACTCCTATACAAACTATGGAATAATTGATAAAACGTCACAAATATTGTTCTTAACATTTCGATCACTTCGATCACTCCTACACAAACTATTGAATAATTGATAAAACACTCGTTAGTATATTTTGTTCACAAAGATTGTTCTTAACACTTCGATCACTTCGATCACTCCTATACAAACTATTTAATAATTGATAAAACCTTCGTTAGTATATTTTGTTCACAAATATTGTTCTTAACACTTACTTCGATCACTCCTACACAATATTGAATAATTGATAAAACCTTCGTTAGTATATTTTGTTCACAAAGATTGTTCTTAACACTTCGATCACTTCGATCACTCCTATACAAACTATTGAATAATTGATAAAACTTTCGTTAGTATATTTTGTTCACAAAGATTGTTCTTAACACTTCGATCACTTCGATCACTCTTATACAAACTATTGAATAATTGATAAAACCTTCGTTAGTATATTTTGTTCACAAAGATTGTTCTTAACACTTCGATCACTCCTACACAACTAATGAATAATTGATAAAACGTTCGTCAGTATATTTTGTTCACAAATATTGTTCTTAACACCTCGATCACTCCTATACAAACTATTGAATAATTGATAAAACGTTCGTTAGTATGTTTTGTTCATAGATCTTGTCTTTGACACTTACTTCGATCACTCCTATACAAACTGGATCTTAATATCCTCAAGAAATGATGATTCGTTGTCATCGCTTGCTACTAATATTATTGTTTAATGTTGCTATAACAATTACTGATTGATATTAGAAATATAACCCAATCAAATCAATTAATGAATTTTATCTCTTTTTTTAAATGTTTCCTTCTAAATAAAAAATTAATAAGAGATCATGACTATTAAATTTCTATAAAATAGTTTTCGTGAACCTTTCCAAAACTTATTAACCTACGCCCCCATAAAGTAACAACCATATGAAAGCTTATCAAGTCTTTTAAAGGAGATATTGAGAAATAATCTAAGCTTTGAAATGAAAAAGTAATACCGTTTTTGAATAGACGTGAATTTATGTAACTTTCAGTATGAAAAGGTATATTCATTAGAAAGCTTTAATGGGGTACTTTCATTTTACTCTAACAACGAAGTTCGAGTTTATTATAAAATTAGCAAAAAAAGCTTCATGTGCACGAATTTCAAATTTTAATTTAACATATAAAAAATCAATTGATGTGGGATGTCACACGACTAATATGCATTCAAAAAATTGATAATGATATAATATTTTTTGTTTATTAATTTACTCAATGATAATTATAATAAATAATAAAAAGAATAATCGGCTCAGATCCTTACTGCTAAATCATAACAGTAGGCCATTAGAAGTTGATAACATTTCACTATAAAGAGAAGTATCAAACCATCTTCCTTGTTCATCATCGCCGATTGCCATTATTATTATATATATTTTCATTAAATCAAGTTTGGCTAAATGTCATCATTTCTTTTATAAAAAAAGATCAGAAATCACTACTGACTACAGCACCATATAAGGGTCTGCTACAAACTCCTCACGAGGAGTTCGAATCATTTAAATTATATTTAAATGTTGTAATGACGTGTAGTAACTTTCCTTTGCAATCCCAATATCCCTCTACACAGTAATTTATTACTGTGGTAAATCCACTCATTGTAAGATCACATTTTTACCCAATTCATGGTTTAGTTAGTCAGTAGTGTATATTAACGCCCCTTCCGTCCATCCGTTCGTCCGTTCATTCGTTCGTTCCCATCCTTTTTTTTTTAAAAAAAAAACATAATGATATTAGATAAATAATATCAACAAAAATAAAGTATAAAATATAAATATAAAACATAAAATATAAAACATAAGTACTGTGTGATTGTCGACTTGTTTGGCTTTGTTCCTGGTAGTCGATAAAAAGAGTCCCATGATACTTTGTTTTTTTAAAAACAATATTATAATAATGATCAGATGAATATGAATGATAAATAGTGTCAACAAAAATAATAGTATAAAATATAAAACAAAGCATAAATACTTGATAAAAATCAATAAAATTAATTATTGTTGGGACGTTGTTGTTAGATGGGAAGAAAAGTTTTTTGTTGGTAATACAAAAGATCAAAAAATTAAACAATAAATAAATAATAACAAAGTTTACAAATAAGGAAAGCAAAGCGAGCCATCGAAATTTTCATTTAGGTTATGTTGTATGTGAAATCGAAATTATGTGAAATTGAAATATTATGGAGTGGGGTGAAATTCTGATTGGCTAAGTTGAATTTCACATATGTAAATTTGAATTCCACATATGGGGGGCGCTCTAGGAAAACCAGGCTTCGAGTTTCGTGTTACGTGTAATTTTCATATGTTTTCGTTATGAAAATTACACGTAACACGAAACTCGAAGCCTGGTTTTCCTAGAGCGCCCCCCATATGTGAATTGCGAATTCACATAATTTCATTTTCACGTACAACATATGTTACACCCAATTTTTATTTTCAAAATTGAATGATCGTCAAAGTTTTTTTTTTGATTTTGTTCATAAAACATTCTATTTTCAAGTAAATATTTGTACCGGTTAAAACCAATTAGAATTGCAATTTTTGGATAAAGTTTATAAATTGTGCAACTTTTAATGTCGGTGGCTCGTGATAAAATACAATTTATTAATATATAGTCAATTTAATTTAATGTTTTATAATTTTAACCTCTATTATTATTTTAAAATTTTTTTACTATTTATTTACAAAAATTATATTTAAATTATTTTTTATAAATGAATGAATGGTTTTAAATTTATCAATTGATATTTCTGATATTGACATTGCTACGTAAAGGGACTTTTGCCACGCGAAATTATTATCTAATTACTAATGATGTGTAGCGAGGAATTTTGGATGGCGGTGGTAACCTTGATGAACTTGATGATGTCGACTTGGAAGATGATATCAACGACAATGATGATTCTAGATCAGGAAACAAAGTCGTTTTAGCGGTGGTAATGGTATTAGTCGTCGACTTTAAAGTGTTATTAGCAACCTTGACTCCATTTTTACTTTTAACTCCAATTTCACGAGATTTTTGTTTGTTAATATTAAGTTTTACCAATTCGGGTTTCTTGTGGATCTTAGTATTAGTAGTAGCTAACGATTTATTTTTAAACCCATTTACGCGAGATTCTTGTCCTGTATGCTTTTCCGGCTTGTGCATCCATTTCGTTTCAGGCGACTTGAGAATTTTTTGAGCAGGTTTATAGCCTTGTTCAGCGGATTTTTTTAAATAATTTTCTGCCGATTCAAGAGCCTTCACGTTTTTGCCATTGTCGTTAAGCCCCCCTCTCAGAACCTTTTTTGCATATTCAAATTGAGCTACTGGATCAGTAAGCTCTACTGCTTCTTTTGGGTCGATTTTACCACTAATGTCATCGAACTCTTTCCGAACTTTTTTATGTTCTTTATTATTATAGTCTTTTGTAAATTCAGACAATTTTTCGTTACCAAAAGTATTATAGTGATCGTGTTGTCGATACTCTGAAGAAATTTCATCTTCCGAATCCTCAATATTTATAGTTTGTGCATCGTTACTGATTATGCTTGACCTTGATGAATTGATAAGAGTTTTTGTATCATATTCTTCAAGTTTAGCAATTGTTAATGAATCACGAGTTGTGTTTGTTGGTGATGGAAATTCATAGTCACAAATTGAACTAGTTTCACTAAAAATATCTTCATAAAGAACTTCTTCGCTTCCGTCATCAGGAGGTGTGGCTGGTTTAGAAATAAATATTGAAGGAGGATTTGTTGTTAAAGGTGAACGAGCTGATGATGGAGGTGACAATGTGATACGAGATGTAGATTTAGATGTAGATGAAGATGAAGATGTAGATGAAGATGTAGATGATAATGTGTTGGTTAAATCATAATTATTTTCGTCATTACTATTGATACAATCAATCAAATCTTTACGAACTTCGCCAATTGTTGGTCGTTTCTTAACATCCGAATTCCAACCTTGTATCATTATTTTGTGATACTCTTTGGGTATTCCTTCCATTTTGTCAAAATCATTAGGTTGAGGGCGTTCATTATCATTCAGAATTTTGTTTTTAATTAAATTGGAATCTATTTTACCAAATGGGAAAGTTTGCATAGCAATTTCCCATAGCAATATTGAAAAACTGTAGACGTCGCTTGATCTTGTATAAGTTGAATTGTCAGACTTAAGGACTTCTGGTGCTGTGTATCTGCAAATATTTAAAAAAAGAAGATATATTAATCAATAAAATCATTTTAAATATATTATCACCACCCGTATGTATATATGTGTGTGTGTGTGTGTAGGTTACCTTGAATCTTGTTGATATTTAGTAGATTTGAAAAGAATGGGATTTTCATATTTGACAGATCCAAAGTCACAAAGAATTGGATCAAGAGACAAATTCAACAGGACGCTCGTACTTTTAATATTACAATGTAAAAAGTTTTTTTGATGGCAAAAGTTCAATGCACTTGCAATTCCAAGAGCTATTTTAACTTTCAAACTCGAGCTGATTCTTGGATTTGTTGTAAGGTATGCTTTGAGATTATAATCGAACCAATTTGTAATCACGTGATATGATTTATTACTGTGATTATTTTTATGATGAGTATGTGTGTACCCGTAACTAAATAATATCATTGAGAGAGTAAGAGAGAAATTTTTTTTAGTCTTATTTGTTCATTATGAAAAGTCATAAAATTATTTCGTCGTGAATTTTTTATTACTTACTATTTTAGAATATTTTGGCATTTTTCAAGCGATTTTAATTTGATCAATTCATTTTCCAATTTCTTAACGTCATTTCTATTTGGTAGGAATCCAATTTCTTGTTCCGCCACGAATTTATTTTTATAAAGTTTTTTCTTTCTGATTTTATTATCGTCATCAACAATTTCAATTGGATTTTTTAAAGATACCAAATTATCGTGGCCCAAATCCAAATTTTCTTTATTAAAGAACAATACATCGATGATCTTTGTTACATTTATTCTCTCTTTCCAATCATTGATTATTTCATCATTAATACTAGTAGTTGTCAGCTTATAAATGTTCAAGGTCAGCTCGTTAGTCAAAACTCTCAAAGATTGCAAATAATCTCTTAATTTTTCTTTAGTGTTCACATCTTCTTGATTTTCTTCGTTGGTCATGCGGTTCGAATTAAAGTTTACAATCAAGTATAGCTTATCCATCAAAAACCTAAATTCTTGTGTTTCCACCAATTTTTCAACATCAAAATCGTAATATTCCTCATTACCAATTCTATTGGTAGTATGGAGCTTAATTTCATTTGAGATAAAGTAGAATTGTTCCAAAAAGCCTTTTGAAATTTCAAGATCGATATTTTTATATTTATTAAAAATTTTGATTAAAATTTGAACCGATTCGTTAAGCAATTTAATTTCATTTTTAGCTTCAATAACGCGATTTGACGAAGAAGTCTTCAATGGCAATGAAAAGAAACGAGAAATTGAGACTTTTGAAGTTTTTGGAGGTGAAAAAACAGATTTTGGAGAAGATGGTGGAGATGAAGGCGATGAAGATGAAGAAGATTTTTTAAAGCAAAAAGAGAAAATATATTTTGTCATTTTGAAAAAGAGTTTTTTTTTTTGTTGTTGTTGTAAAAAGAAATAATTGTATATATATTATATGTTTGAAGAATGTTTCTAAATAATTAAATAATATGTGAATATGTAGTTATATTTTTGATATTTATAATAATATATATACTCGATCAACGAGCAATTTTAATAACTTGTCTAAAGTTAAAAAAAAAATGATCAAAATTTAAATCTTTTTATTTTTATTTTTTTTTGGAAGAGAGAATCAGGACTTGTTGGATTTTCTTTTGATGGAAATGAAAAGTTGGGTGAAAAATTGTTGTTTATATATAAGTTGGCTGAACAATATTAATTATGGTGTTAGAATACGATTAAAAACCTAAAAATAACTATTTTTCATTCATCCCCGATTTAGTCAACAAAGCAACAAAGATAAATAAATAATAATATTTAAAAAATTTATGAAACAAACAACAAACATTTCCCAAAAAAAGCACAATGACTTTTAACATCCAATAAAAAAAAAAGGTCCCAAAATCTATTTTTTTTTACCCAAAAAATGTCATGTGCAATAAAAATTTGTGATTAGCTGAAATAAAATTTATCAAATTTTCACCCCGTCAATAAGCAAGGTTTAGCCTATAATAATAAATTGATAACATTTGCATATCTTATATATCTTATCATAAACTTCACCATAGAAAGACATAGAAAGAATGATAACAATATAATAATAGTAAATATGTTAGATATGACGATAATAAAATAATAATAAGGTTTTTTTAAACATTTTTATTATTTACCGCAATTCTAATCCCAACTTTCTTCCATCTGAAAAAATGTCTTCAAATTTTCGTAAATTAGAGTTCGCTCAAGACCAACAACAATTATTAGAATCAAATTTTATTGGTAAATATTTTTAGAAAAAATTAAATATTAGAACAATATAATAATAATTAATATTATTAATATTAATATTATTAATTAATGTTATTATTAATATAAAATAACAACATTGATGATAGATTTGGCAAGTGATAAATTGGGTTCAAAGATTATAGAATGTAGCGATGAATTTTTTGCTGATGCTTCAAACTTGTTGAAACCAGAAAAGGCCATCCGCATATTTGGAAAATATACAGGTTTTAATTTTTCTTTATATTCTATTTTCTTTGTTTTACATATATATTCAGTAACACAAATAATGTACAATAGATCATGGAGCATGGATGGATGGATGGGAAACAAAAAGACATAATCCAACTTTTGATTGGTATTCATGCATGATAAATTGAATTATTGGAAATAGACAAACAATTGGAAATAATTAATTAGTTTCTGATTATTATTTTAGGGCAGTGATTAAATTAGGGTTTCCAGGATATGTAAATGGATTTGATATTGATACTTCTCATTTCATTGGTAATCACGCTCCATTTGCCGACGTTGAAGGTTGCTGTATGATAGATAAAGATCCTATTCATAATGATCATGCCAAGGTATATGTGTTTTGTTTTTGTACATACATGTGTATATTTTTTTATGTAGTCTTAATTCCAACACAATATATTTTACATGCAATATTTTTGATTAGTGGGATAAAATGTTGGATAAAGTAGGATTAGGATCAAATGCTCAACATTTCTTTGGAATTTCAGGAAATCCACAAAAATATTATACTCACATTAAAATAAATATTTATCCTGATGGCGGTGTGGTAAATATCATCCATCATTTTTGTATTTATTATATAATTATATATTTAATATATGTGGTTTTTTCCATTCAATTCTCCTTATTCTACTACAAATCTTTAGGCAAGATTTAGGGTTTATGGAACGGTTTTTGCCAGTTTCCCAAAAAATCCAACTGAATTATTTGATTTGGCTTTTGTTGGTAATGGTGGTGCAATATCTTCATATTCTGATCAACATTTTGGTAAAGTAAGTGATTTATTATTACCCGGTAGAGGAAATAAGAATATGAGTGATGGTTGGGAAACTAGACGCTCCAGAGAACCAAAACATAAAGACTGGTGTATTGTCAAATTGGGATGTCCTGGATACTTGGAAAAAGTTGAAGTTGACACCGCTTATTTCAAAGGAAATTATCCTGATTCCGTCGAGTTAGAAGGTTGTTTTAGCGGTAATCCGGTAAATATATATAATTAATATTTACTTAAACCTGTTATGAAAATATCTGTTTAAACATTAATTAATTAAATTCAATAGGAGATTTCTGATTTGAAATCAAAGTGGACTATAATATTACCAAAGACAAAATTGTTTCCACATAAACAACATTATTTCGATTTACTCAAACTGGATGGGAAAATATCGCACGTCAGAATGAACATTTATCCAGGTAACTATCTAAAAGTTAAAACAATTTTTTTATTATATTAATTGTATTCATTCATTATTATTATTGCCTAATTCGTATGATTTATACAAGACGGAGGAGTGAAAAGATTACGTATTTGGGGTCGTAGAGAAATTCCAAGAATTGAACCCGATTCTAAATTAATATTATCGCCATCATTAAATAACATTACCGAGGATTGGTTAAATATTATAATAACAGCAGAACCTTTAACAATGTCATCTTATTCAAAATATGGTAATGTAATTCAATCAGCTTCTGAACAGCAGCAACAATCTTGGCTATCGTCATCACCTTCTGTAACATTAACCTATCAAGGGATTAAAGTAACATCTGCAAATCAAGGTTCAGCATTGAAATATAATAAGGTTGCTCCACTAATTAATTATCGTAATAAGGATAATAATAAGGAAAATAATAATGATGGTAACAGGGAAAACTATTATGATGGTAACAGGGAAAACTATTATGATGCTGAAGGCGAACAAAATAAAAAATATTCAATTGCTCAACCAAATTTAAGCATATTTAAATGTCAACCAATTAAAAATATTCCATTCAAGCTGGATTTATTGGAAAGGCATTTATATAGTAGTCAACTATTTGTTCCCATGAACAGTGGTAATTTACGAGGCTATTTGATTATTGTTTGTCTAAATGGTTTAGGTATTTAATTATTATGTGGACTTTTGAATTGGCCGAGAATTATTAATGATTGATTTATTCATTTAAACATCCCAATATTAAAACGTTAATAAATAGATGATAAACCTGATTTAAGAACTTTGAAAGCTTTCGTTGCTTCAAATGTTCAAGGTGTAAGTTATAATCCTGGTACTTGGCATCGTCCCATAATTGCATTAGAACACGTTACTGATTTTATTTGCTTGACTTATGAATCGGGTGTTCCAGATGAAGATTGTGAAGAGGTATTGATTTTAGATAATATTACAATTCAAGTTCCTGGATTTAATGGAATCAATATTAATAACCAAATAAATACTCCAGAGTGGGTTAAAATCTACAACGATAATACAAATATTAGTTAGTTATTTAACCAATAGATAGAGATTTAGATAACAAAATATAACTTTTTTCCTAATATATTTTTTTTTTGCAATTATTTCATTTATTCAATTTAATAAATTCTAATGATATACATTATTATTACATGAAGAGAAAAAATATCAAACAAAAAAAATTTACAATTATATTCATTAGATTACAACACTACATCATAAGATTATATTGTGATTCTTGGCAATTATCGTAACAAACTTGCTGTTGAGTTTCATCGCAAGATTGTAATTGATTACAATTGTCATAGGAGCCTTGATATTCATTATGACCTCCGCAATTATTTGAGTAAACAGTTGGTGTTTTACAAGATCCACTACCACAAGTCCCACCGCATGGCCCAACACCACATGGCAGTGGTCCACCACAAGGGCTAATTGGTGGTGGTAACACTGCCGCTGTGCAACATTCATCACAAGGAGCTCCTCCTAAGCATTGACGTTTCTGAAGTAAATAATCTCTTTTTCTTTTGTTTCTGTCATCTTTGTTATTAAGAACTGAACGAATTTTAGTTTGTGGAGTTGTTGTTGATGCTGCTAATGCTGATGGTGATCTTTTATTGGCGAGGTTTGGAAATGCATTGGTTGAAGAAAGTTTTAACGCAAAGAAAAATATTAAAAGTAAATTTAAAATGGTTTTAAATGATTTCATTTTGAATTTTAAATTTAGGGGTTGTTTGTTTGTTTGTTTGTTTGCTTTGTTTGTTTGTTTGTTTGTTTGTTTGTTGATTTAAATGTTTTGAATTTGAATTTTTTATGTTTTGAATTCGTATTATGAAAGCTTTGTCTGGTCGATGTTTCTCGTCGTGTTTAAATAATGAATTTTTTTCATGTTTTTTTTAATTAATTGCAATTAATATATTAATAAATTGGTTTAATAAATTTAATCAATAAATTAATTTCAAAATGTTGATTAATTGCTTTTTGATTAATTGATTGATAATTTATTTCATTCATCGTGAAGTTGAATCATATTCACATTCGGAGAATGTGCCCATGCCTAATTTACCTTTTTTAGTAATCAGACAGAATTTATCAAGACTAAATAGTTGGTCGGTTTTTTTAAATTTACAGAAGTTAATTTAGGCTGGAGATAGTGTTGGTTGCCGAAACTATTTTGAAGAAGTGAAAGTCAAAACTAAAATTAAAATTTATATGTCAAAACTAAATCAAAAGTCAAAAGTCAAAGGTCAAAACTAGTTTTGACTTGTGGCGAAACCTTTTGACTTTCGCACAGTTGCGAAACTCTCTAGTTTTGGAAGCCAACATTAGCAGGAGATGAAGCAGAGGAAGATCATACATATTCTTCAAATGGAAATCTCTCGATCGAATGAACCAAGAAGATGTTATATATTGCAGGATTCTGCCTTCTCTTGATCCATCTGGCAAAAAGAGGGAATGAAACATAATCTATATTCTTAGATAATGCATCAATTCCGGGATGTATATTTACTAAAGGTGCAGACATATTTCCGAACTATATCTGAAGACATTGTATGAGTAAGTTTTACGATCATCAAACCGGTTACTGAGGTTAATCTATTATATTAAAATAGAAATATCAATATTAATAAAAATTCATTAAAACTTATAAGGACAGAAAATGTGACGAGTCGCGACTAATTAATATTCTTGCGTACCCACAGAAAAAATAGTAATCGATTGTCTTTAAAAGGACCAAAAAAGTAATGCTATTTATTACAATACTCTTTTTCAATATCTTTGAGCTGAAAAAAAAAACTGAAATATGTCTGAAACTCACTTCTTTGAACAACAAGATGGCTCACGAATTGCATACAAGATTCTCGAGTCGGAGGACATGAAAAATGAGACTCCCCTCGTGTTAATCATCGGATTGTGAATATTGCTACTTTTGAAAATATATATTCTGCATTTTAAGTTATTTATTCTACAATTTATCAATAACTTCTCAATCAAATATGCTAAGGTGGGACATCAAAGAATTTTTTACGGGCTTAGAAGTAGGTTAAGTATGGGTGTCTTTACTTTTAACGTATGCTTATTGTGCAATTAATTGATTGTTCTTAATGATTATTAGAATTGGCAAAAAATCGAAAAGGTTTCCTTATTGTTTCATGTTTTAGAAAAAATTTTTTTCTCAACTAAAATCTAAATTGTTCGTTTGCCAGTAATTGTGTTTGATAACCGTGGAAACGGGGAATCGAGCGTCCCTTCTTCTAAGGATCCTATTTCGATTGATTTGATGGCACGAGATACAATCGCATTGGTCAAGCATCTTGGAATTAAACAATTTAATCTATTGGGGTGGTCTATGGGTGGTAATATTCGAAAATCTGAATATTTAATGGTCTTTCCAATGATGATTTTGATTCATGAATGTTAATTTCTGTATAATTTTTATAGGCATTATCGCACTTTGCGTCGCCTTGAATATTCCATCGGATCTTAAGCTAGAGAAATTGATCATTTGTTCAAGGTGTATATACTGTAAAATACTTTAAATCATTCATAAAACCATTTTTTAATTTGCATTACTCATCCTTGATAAAGTTTTGCTCGACCCATAGCAAATCAAATCTTCGAAGATTTTTATAACTTACCAGAATTAGACCCCCCGAAAAGCGTTCAAGAACAAAAGGACATGATCACTGCGACCTTTTCTGATTACCTACTTGAGCATGCTGACAAGCTTGATAAGCTTGCGAAATTAAACATTCATCGTCCATTTGAGATTTACAGTATGTATATTTTAACCAAGATTCATTGTGATTAAGGTTCTCGAGGATTGAAAAATACTAACTTATCTATTTGTAGAACGACAGTGGGAGGCGATTAAACAGGCAAACATCGTCTCAAAATTACAAACAATCAAAGCCCAAACTTTGCTGGTTCATGGTGAAGCCGATGACGTGGTTCCTATTCGGGAAAGTGAATTACTTGAGCGTGAAATTCCTGGTGCACAATTTTATAGGATTCCTAAAGTTAGACATGCGTAAGTGTAATTTTTAAAAAAAATTGCATCAAAAAATCTCCATTAAAAGCTATATATTAACAATAGTTATTTGAAAATTTAAGGTTTTGGCTAGCAGAGCCCAGATCCGTTGCTCACATTAATAAATTTTTGCTTGAATGAAATCAGATGTCGAAAATTACATTTTAAATAATAAAGAATGTTTTATTATGTTAACTGACCATGAATTATTAATAAAAGCGAGGTACAATGGTTCCAAATTGGAGCAATTATGTAATATCGCATTTTTATATACTAATACACTATATGTGATCGGTTAGCTTGATTTATCAAATTTCGAAGCGAAGAAATAATATGCTCTAGTTTTATACCAATTATAATCACGCGAGTCAGAAAGAATATGTATCATTGCTTTATTTGTTTACGAAATAAAAAAAGAACGTCGCTGAAGACAAAAGACAACAACATACAAATAAAAATGAAACACATATATAAATAAAAAAATTATTATTCATTCATTGCATTATATTTAAAGAGAATATTTAGAGATATTAAAATATAGTAACAATCCTTGATTATTTAAAAAAAATAAAAAATTTGTTTCTATCAATTATTTGAAATACTGTGTTGCAACACATAAAAAATTAAATTCTTGATTCAAGGAAAAAATGACATTTTCATATATATAGACGAAAAATCTACAGATGCTACAAAGTAAAGTTTTTTATTTTCTGATTAAATACCAAAAAAAAATGTATCAATATATTCTTTGATGTTATTCCATTTTATAAAATAACGGGATATAAATTTGAGGCACAAAGCATAGTGCTATTTTCTTGTAAAAGATCATAAAGTAAAATCAGCATTTCTAGATTTTTTTCGCCGAACATTTGATATGGAATCTCCCTCATTTATTCGCAAATCATCAATTAATAAAGTTACACAATCCATTTCCATCTATTTGAGTCCTGTCACAGATGCTTTGAAATTAGAAAAGGTTAAATTACTACATATTGGAAAACTTTAAATAAACAAAATTTGTAGCCATTGGTTCTGCAATACGAAGTGGAATATGACGATTAGGAATATCTAAATATAAATAATTTGTCCCATCACGAATTAAGTACTCTCTTCTGGTCCATTTAATATAAAAATAAAGATTATAAGTTGATCATGTTAACCGTTGGTACATTTAAATAGATACCATGTTTCCTTGAACAAGCTCAAGGTCTTGAGGATAATCTATGCATTCTGGAGGATCTGGATATTTATTTCTGATATGAACTATAATTCTATTTTGTTTGACAGAATATAATCATCCAATTAAATTATATGATTAAAAGCTTTATAGTTAGCTGTACCAAAAGTAGATAACTATAGTCACATCCAGGAGTACTGTTCTAAGAAAGGGTCACATCGCCATTAATCATATTTTCAAGTAGGAGTAAATTTATAACTTCCGTCGCCAAGCAATTCAAGATTGGCAGAACAATCATTTAAGAAATAGTTTTATTAAAAAATATTATTAAAGGTATACATACTACCACTAGTATAAAAGAGCTGACAGAGTTATATTAAATACTTTTAAAATAATAAGAAAATAAATGATTCCTAAAAAAAAATTCCAATCAATTTACATATTCAATTAGATAATAATTTACTACATGGAAATGGTTCTTATCATTGGAATATTGGATCGAAGGCTCATCCTTTATAATCAAAAAAATATTAAAGCAACAATATATGCAATTAATCCACTTAAAAAATTTATTGTATCAAACAAAATTTATTGATATTCCTATTTAATATTTTCAAACAAAAACAAATTCGCGCAACAGGCTCTTTTCAAGAATGGCTATTAATAAAATGGAATTAATTTGGTTTTTCTAATATTTTTAAAGGTTATATAGCTTCATTAATTTTTATTTCATCTATTTTTTATATATATGTATATTTAGAAGTGTAATTATTAAATTAAAAAGTATTCATTTATTAACACATTAGCAGGATCTGATGGAGATGTTATTAATGAAAAGAAAATTTTATAAATGATTATTAATGGTTTTATTTATACATTTATATATTAATGTAAATAAATAACATATGTAAAATTTCGAGTTAAAATCATATCAATTGACCAGAAGATGACAATTATTTCAAGATTACAAGCATTGGTGTTACTGCTATTATTAATATATTTGTTTCTTTTTCCAAAGGTTGCAAAGGTTGGACGATCTGACGATCTGACAGTGTACAATCCGTTACGCGATCATATTTTTTTTATTATTAATTATTTATTTTTAGAAAATAGAAATTATTTGTATTTGGTATATTATTATTCAATTTAATGAATTTAATTATCAGATCATTTGGAATAAGTTAAATATTAACAAAATATAT